CTAACACAATCATAGCCACATTGGGTTCATAGTATATTTATCAGCTAACACCTCTCATATCAGATCCTGACAGAGTAGGGCATAGTCAATACAAGATGGGACAGGTTCACAACACCAACACTGATGGGTTAAAAAAACAAAACAAAACAAAAAAACAGGCACATATGGATGAGCAAATATAGTTTTAGGAGGGTTCCTCACCTCTTCAGAAGGTGTTGTTTCTTCAAGTATTTCCAATGGATGAGAACATTTCTGTTCCTTGAGACATTGTAGAACTGCCTCTATTCCAGACAGAACCTCTGGGATTCCTGTTGAGAATCATATTATAAAAGAGATACTGCAAATGTTTCTTCAAGTATTTCCAATGGATGAGAACATTTCTGTGCCTTGAGACATTGTAGAACTGCCTCTATTCCAGACAGAACCTCTGGGATTCCTGTTGAGAATCATATTATAAAAGAGATACTGCAATTTCATGATTAAAAGGAGAGAGCAAAATCACCATACGTTTCCCAAGAAGGTCATACAGCTTCATCTTGTCTTGCATACACTCAGCAGATGTGCACCTGCTTTTCCCACTCCACTTATTCACAAATGATGCATGATCAATGCCCTGAAAAATGAGCAATATATATGAAACATGTGTCAGAACCACAATGCAAGGCAATCTTTTTTTTTTATAAATCCTCATCTATCACTACTTAGGTAATTGAAACTGTAGCTGAAACACAAATCAACTACACAGGTCTATGCAGCAGTATCACCCCCCTAAGAATCAATTCTTATGGTAATCAGAGAAGAGGTACAGGTTTTAGAGGAATGAACAAATTCAACTTGGCTTATTTGACAAAAACAAGTTGTAACACACTTGACATTAAATTACAATCTCCAGATACATAAAATAGTGCTGAACATAAATGACTTTCCTCAGCATTTGTTTGTGAAAGGCATTGCACAGAACTCACTGGAGAATCACTGCCATCATCAACAGGCAGATCATTTCCTTGAGAACTGGAGAGCGAGAGAGATGACTCAGAGTCTGACTGATCCTCTCTTGCTCTCTTCTGGTCAAGAAGATTGCTGATCTTCTTTTCAGCATGAGCCTTATCTCCTAGATCACAGAGAACATTATTATTTAATGAATATCAGGCATATACCAAACAGAGTCCTAAATTTGAAGGGTAGAACTGAAGGGACCATACTAGTCACATGTCACCAATTCCAAGTATGACTTCTTTTTCCATGAAATCTGGCATTCTAACCCAAGGAGTTTCTTGACATCATCTGTGCTATCCATATCAAGATCATCCTTTAGTGGATGACTGAATATCTTAGTGGATGGGGCAATGCTCAGCTTGCCCTTGTCAGTGCCCCGAGTCCACTCGATGATGATATAGATGGTCATACTTCACATCAAGCATATGGCAACCTAGAGGCATTAATTAGGGAAGCAACAAGAACCCTGTTCATATGAATACAAGGTTCATAGAGAGTACCAAGCTGATGCTGGAGTCCTCTCAGGTAATTCACATTAGAAGATTTGCAAGACAAGACACTTTAGAAAAATTATGGCTCACAGGAACTTGAGCCAGTCCACATCACCAAGGATGAGGCCATTTTGACATGCAGTAGAGAACAATCACATGCATCAAGGGATGGGAGATGCCACATAAAGCTGTCTATATTTATTACTTCATTCAAAGCATCCACCTTTAATCAACAAGCTCATGGAACATCACTGGAAATATGAATAATGGTCCAAATTAAATTAATCAGAAGTACTGTCTTTCCAAGAAAGGAAACCCAAACTGAAATTCAGCAAAATTCAATAGACTGGATGTGCCTTGGTCTCAGTATTATTTCTATGTTAGAAATATAGAAATACAAGGAACATCTAGAACACATTGAAATGCATAAAGTTCTTTTGTGGACTACCCAGTTTGCCTTTAATAGAAACCAAACAATTCACATATATATGTTTTATCCCCAAGAGGAATGAAGAAAACTTTCTTTTCAATGTCACAAATTGGAAAGGCAACCATTTCTTCTACTTTGTGAACTTCTTTAATGTGTGATAGACTCAGAGATACGACTCCAAAAGCTTTTCCCTGGAAAAAGTTTTTCTTCTTGTAAAGATACCCCAAAGCATAGCCATGAGACCCAACAGATATAAAAGTTTCAATGTTGAAGAAATCCGAATTTCTTAACTTGACAAAATGATTCAGCCTCTTCAATTTCTTTTTCTGACCATATTGTTCACTTGTGACAAGCTTGCCATTAATGACAACTTTTAAGAATTTCTCTAGAAGTGCCACTTTTAGATGAGCATATGGAGTGACCTGAATCAATGCTAACAATATATTATCTGGAATCCTCATCATTCCCTTTTCCTCATCAATGGACATGGGCAATGAATCTCCTAACTATACTACATTCCCCTCTCTCCTGGATTTATTGCTTGCTCGATGCTTGGGGTTCATCATTCTTTCAAAAAAAACTCTTGAGAAAGTAGAATCTCTCAGAACAGTCTGTGTGGATTGAGATTTCAAAGCCATTTCTGTGCAGAATTTGCTCATTAAATTTTCAATTACCCCATGGGAACTTTTCACAAGATGTTTCAGTGTGCCTAGGTAAGATTCAAATATAAAGCCAGAATGAGACCAGACTGGCCCTGAAAGCTCTACGTCTGAGCATAAATGTAGCAAATTATGCACATTATAGCTGAGAGCAGCTTTTCCATACAATTCTTGAAGTTTTGACACAAAGAGCAAAAGGCAACTCTTTGCATGGGAAAGAGGTAGACTTCATTAGAATCCGTAGTACTCATGACTATAAGGTAGGTGGTTATCGTTTTTTACGTTCATCTTTAGAAACGGTTCTTAACCTCCAACGTTCTTATCTCCTCGTTCTATGTCCTCGGTGTTGAGCCACTCATGTGCCTTCCAAAATTTACGAAGGGACAAGGATCTGGGGGATCGATCTATTTCACTTGGGGGTTTAGTTTTTGACATCAAAGTGCTCACATGTTGAGAGTGATTTGCAATATAGAATGGCTTTCTCTGATTGGAACTGGAGGGCTCAAAAAACATAGCTGTGAGATTACGAGTAATACCCAATAAAACACAGTGCATGAAGTCAACTGGCATTCCATCTACAATGTCAAAATCAGGCACTTCAGACGAAGGAGATATGCCTTTGACACCTAACACAGCATAACCCAAACTCTCTGCTTCATGCCCATTCTTTAAGGTCTCTTCGTGGTTCCTCAAGCCGCATCCAAAAGGATGGAACTCATCAATGGGATAAACATGGGCAAAACCTGAGTCTTTGTGAACATGTTCTCCAGGGTGGAGGCACTTATTACAGCCATATTCTCCATTGAATTGTGTCATATTCAGCACTGCTGCTTTAGCTACTGCATCAGTGACTCCAAGGGTACAGTAAACCAAAAAGGGTATGATTTTGTCTTCAACAGAAATGCTGATCCCCTCTGAAGATAATAGCTTCAGTTCATCAGAAAATGGCTTGAAAAGAGGAACCATGGGAGGCTTGCTAGAACCAATATAAATAGCTGCTAGGACAACATTAGCCCGTCTGACAAGATATGGAAGCTCATTGATAACAAAGAGCAAAGGCCATGCACTCACATTTGATCCTTTGAAAAGGCAGTCCATCAATATTGAAGGTTAATGTTAGAACATTTTCCTTCCTCACTTTTACTCGCCTGCACATTAACCCATCAATGGCATCAGTAATCGCATCCCGTGATCCCTTACCCATCTGCAAACTCTGATAGATGTCAAGTCTTTTAAGAAGCTGCTTTATTGTTGCATGTAAGGGCAAGTATCTGATTGGAAAGAAAGTTCTCGGAATTTCTTGAATATCCAGTACAATTTTTCTCCAGAGCATGCTAGAATGTTCTGCGTGTGTTTATAAGTAGGTCGTGTCCTTCGGCATACAACCGTATATTATTACAGCCCTGGTGCTCTCCAGCCATGAACCAGCCCTACCCTCTTACTAAGGAGCAAGTTC